GAGATGGATAAGTGAAGTCTGATAACGATAAACACGCTGAGAGAGATTCTTGACACCGTTTTCCTCTCTTTCTAAATATCTCCCGGGAAAATATCAATGCAGAAGCGCAACTTCGGGTAAGGTTCCATGCGATTGAAAACAAATTCACGGCACCGTGATTTTCGAGACAACATGCCGTAAATCCACAGTGAATTTGCGGGAAAAATCTCGTGATAAATTCCCTGCCCTAAATAATGAGATATCGGATTCTTCATATCGGACAAATATCGAATTGGTATTCTCAGGTCTCTTCAGTGCGATTCAGAGTGATGGAGGAGAGCAGATGGAAACTACGGGAAATTTATTGAATGGATCACTAAACCTCTTGTCTGCAACGGAACTATTGGTCTCAAGCGCGGAAGAATCGGTTGTGAACGGGAGCGAGAGCCGCGAATGCGTTGACGGCGGGAGCGGGAACCACGACCGGAGCGACGTACGAAGCTTTAGCCTTGACTCGCTGAGATTCGAACTGGAGTGCAGCTTCGGCGCCAGTGGGAGCTGTCGATTGGATGGTCACATCCGCGGGGTTCTTGGATTCGGTTCCGAGTTCATTGGTGATCACATCGGCGTGGAAACCAGTCTCGTCAGCGTAGTAGGTAACAGTCCTCTGACGTCCATCGGCCAACGAGATCGTGTATTTGCCCGTTACACGACCGGAACCATCCGTGGACTCTTCCGCGGTGGAAGATCCTTCGCGATCCTCGGTGGCGTAACTGTACTGGTACGGAGCCGGCGGTCCGTATTGCTCCGGTTGCGGTTGTTGACGGGCAACTCTCCGCTGGGCAACGGCACAAGAGAGCACTGCAGAAGCGGCGATGATGAGCACGAACGATTTCATTTTGATTTGATACTCCTCGGTAATGTGGCATCCTTCACCCTGAAAATGGAATATATACTGGAATCTGTCTCTGGGCGAGGGCGACGAGGCAAACAGGTCCCGGCAGCAGGTAGAAGCACCCCATGCATTCTTAATGACCTTCGCCTTCAACCCTTCAGTGCGGATTCGATTCAACATCTGGATTACTGTGGTGTGCTCATATTCGAGATTGCAATGGACTTGCGAATACGTCTCAGAGTTGGCAGCCGATGATGAGTCGATTAGTCTGAACCGATGAGTCGGTTCATCATCGCATGAATTTATGTCTCCTCTCGGAGCGCAGTGTTCCTAAGAACTCTCGGAGAGCGCTTCCCCATCTCCGTTCAAATTGAAGTGCAATGAGAAGGTTATGGGGAGATGACGCCTCTCGCTTAGCCCGACACCTGGTGACTCTTCTAAAAGCGATTTCGATACCGGTCATAAGCGTGAACCAAGGATTGCCTTGATCACTCCCGGCTCCCCTTTCGGGAATTCGACAATAATCGTATGTAAATCCGGAAAAAAAAGCATTTTCTGGTGAGCCTCAGAATGATTTTGTTCCTCTGATCGTTTTTACTACCAGTTTTGTGACGGTCAAGGGCGTTACAGGGCAACGCAAGCTGGGTGACCACGACTGAATTCGGGAAAGAAGAACTCAATAACAAATGGACTTACTTGTTAGATACCCTGACGGCTAACATTGGCTGTCGCGTGGGGCACAAATGAGACATTCATGTGGGAGCTCTTCAGCTGAGTTTAGGGACGGCGCGCAGCTGACTACGGGCGGTGCCGGAGAGTCTGAATTAGGAAGATGTGTTCACCATAACCAGGTGGGTCACGGGAATCGATGACAGCAGAACACAAGTCGGGGAATACCTTCGGATACAAGACGGTGGCCATCTTCACATGAGGAACCAGCTGCTTGGCTGTACGACAAGAAGTCAATCCATTAAGAAAAGTTCATCTCGCTCGACCTATGACCCGCTCTTCAGAAAATTTCCAGGAACTGGACGATCTGACGCAATCTCTCCTGAGATTCAGAAATCGGTGTCAAATCCACTGAGAAAAAAATAGATTCGAGGTCATCGCCGACTCTATAAGTCGCAATCATTGCGACCTGTTCTCGCTTCCCTCCCACCTACTGAAGGATAGAGTTGATGCTTCCCCCCCGCCCCGGCGCAGTCATCTCGATCCAGCACTCGCCTATCACTTCATGCAGCTCTTGAGGGACACCTGTTCTTTTTGCTGGCTGTCGTCGGACGGACTCCGAGTCCCGTAAGGCATACCGCCAGACTCCTCCCAATGCGCGCAGTATGAATTCTTTCATTAAAAAGATCCTCTCGAAATCCTCGGGATTCGGTTTCGGTGATCTTGACGCTTTCCTTGCAACATACAGAATTGTTCGCTGGCATTTGTTCGGCTCAATGGATTTCGGATGTTTCTTCATTCCCTATGCGTTCACCACACATTTTGAAAAAATGAATCGCAAAACGAAAAGAAAGCCGCACCGGACGCCGCGGCTGGCGTCTCGAAGCTTCCACATGTGCGACCCGTTAGAGGCTTGCACCCACCGCGCTTCATTGTGAGCATTTTTCGCGTTCGTTGTTAGAAAGCGGCTGCTATTCTGATGACCACGGGTTGAAGTTGAGCGCTAGGAGGGATGTTTGTGAAATAACCGAAGGGAAATCTGGACGGAAGGTTCTGTACGGGGCTAGAAACTCGTGCAAATTTCGGAAATATTCGCACCGTGTTTTCTGACCCGATTGCGAATCGACACGTCCGAACTTGCGTCCGAGACAATGAGACTCCGATGAGAGCTTTAAAGTGTGATTGACGACTGCGCGAAGCTCAGGCGAACATTGACATCGACGACAGCGAGGAGCAGGTTTTCTTGTGTGCAGATCGATGGCCGGTTGACCTATTGGACCCTCGTGACGAGTTTCGCCTCTTGAAGGTCCTCGCAGATGCCCCTATTTGCATTCGCCGACAGTCCAGACTGGTCTAGACAGCTGTTTTGATGGGTCAAATTTGCTGACCGCCTTGGATTTAGTCAGGGTTCGAGCGACCGACCGCGGCCACAATGGGAATTAACCGAGAAAGATGGTAGGATTACGCTGTTAGCTAGCCAGGGCCGATTTTACAAAGTCTCGGGGGATCCACAATTTACGACTAACAGCAAAATCGAAACAGCGAAATCGGTGCGGAAAAAACCTCGTCCGAAACTTTCCGGGAGCGGATTTGCGGTCTGCGTCAGACAGCTCACCGGAGAGTTTTACTTCACGGTCTGATTCCTTATTCCCTAGTGGGTTTTCGAGTTCACTGAGGAATCGGGATTTGAACGAAGGCTCTCTTGCATTGGTGTCGAGCGATAATTCCCATTGCTAGATCAGCCGCGAAATCCCCCTGACTTCAGGAACCGTTCAGCTTTAAGATAATCGACCTCGATACGATGGAATATACCCCTCCGCCCCGAAAGCTTCCAACGGGGCCGCCCACAATTCTCGCCCTCGCCATAGGCATATAAAATCAACGATCGCTAGTTTCTTCTTCGCTAAGTCACCAGTGCATTCTGAATCATGAAAACCTTCTTTTTCGTTCTCGCCGCCGTGGTGGCCTGCGCCTTTGCTCAAGAGGAGAAGTACGGACCTCCCGCTCCCTACCAGTACAGTTACGCCACCGAGGATCAAGAAGGATCTTCGACCGCCGAGGAGTCTACCGATGGTTCCGGTCGTGTGACGGGCAAATACACGATCTCGTTGGCCGATGGACGCCAGAGGACTGTTACCTATTACGCCGACGAGACCGGTTTCCACGCCGATGTAATCACCAACGAGCTCGGAACCGAGTCCAAGAACCCCGCTGACGTCACGATCCAGTCGTCTGCTCCCACTGGACCCGAAGCCGCTCTCCAGTTCGAGTCCCAGAGAGTCAAGGCTAAGGCCTCATACAACGTTCCGGTCTACGCTCCTGTCCACGCGCGATTCTGAAGCCTCTAGTCTAGAGTCCGAAGCGAAGCTTTCTGATTTCGCGTTCCTCTCCTATCTCTCTCTGGATGAATGTTCCTGAAAGTTTGAACTTCGTCACTGTCATCTCTGTACATATAGACCTACCTACATTGTCACCTCACTCTTCTAGTCTCGCCAGAATTCCCACGTGCCAACAATAAACTCTTTTATTTTTCGGAAACGCTTGCAGGAAGTCATTTTGATATCGGTTCGGATTACGAGTGATTCCTAGCTTCATGGGGGATCTAGTGTCGGGGATAATTCCTCGATTGTTGAGCGGTTCACCTTGCAATGCAGCTCTGCATCGAAAGAGCTGTCCATAGGTGCCGAAAACTCTGTCCGACTAATGGCCGTCGATTTGCTGGTGATGAGTCAGACAATCATATTCTGCGCTGATGAGCGTCCGACAGTGCCTCGAGCCAGATGGACTTGGAGCAGTTCAGGGCAATGTCGGCGATCAATCCGGATTCGGAATTCTGGAAGTATCTCCCGATCTCAGACCTCGGGGCTGCGAAGATGCGCTTTATCGTTTTCTATTTCTCTATAATTCTTGCGCTTTACAGCAAGAAAATTGTCATTATTCAATTCGAGATGGTACCCTAGGATCTGGAGTGAAATAAATCGGGCCCGACGGGTATTTTTCAAGATTCGAACCTCCGGTTCAGGCTCTTCTGAGGCGTTATGGATTACTAAATCATTCTCGATACTGACGCAGATTTTCTTTTGTTCCAGGTGAGTTTGAATTGAGCGGTGAACTTCTGAGTCAGCAACGCGACTGAATCGGAGCTGTTCTCGAAAGCTACGATGGGTTTTCTCGGTCGAACCGAGTTCATAGCTCACATAGAGAGAGACTTCACATTGAGGGGACCTTCATATCACTCGATCGAGCCTCTCGCCTCTAGGGTCGATCAGATACAGACCCACTGGGGGACTTATAGCCTGTCGCTATCACGGATCCTCTCACTCACAGCCATTCCACGCAGGAGAAGCTAGTCACAGATAGAGTAACCAACCGTGACTATCAGTGCGAAAGCAATAGCTGGCTGATATCGAGAGAAAGACGAGTCCGAAACGTCGCGTTTCGTGAGGGGGGAGCTCGCGTCCACGATCTGACGCTCGACTCGTCTGAGCTTGACGACGCCGATCCGGGAGCCCCGGGATTTCTGATACAACGTTTCCTGCTGCGGTGAGCTGCGGATTGACAATGCAAAAAGGATCGTACACGGAGTCTCTATCCACGCGCATTTTGACGCGGCACGGTCAATCCATATTCTCCCAACAACTCAGAGCTGTAGAAGCATCGAGTTGGTCCGTGTCATGTTGCTCTCATATTGTTCAGGTCTTGTCACTGATGAGCATACTTTATCACGTGAGCAAGAACATAAAAGGGGGCCAAACGTGGTCTTCGCGCATTGATCCCGAAGATTTTGCGGTTTATGAGCAAGCTGTCTCAATTGAAATATTGGAAGAGTTTCCGGCATTTAGGATCAGGGGGTCGAGGAGCACCTGGAATCCGCAGGAAGTTTCCGCTTATTTTTCTGAGTCGCTGGATAGAACATTAGGAGCAGCTTCGGATCATTCCGCAGGAACAAATTGATCATGATACAGAATGGCGGATTCACGGGCACGATGGTCGAATTTCTGGAACTTCCCAGATCTTGATTGAAGCTCATGCTCCCTGAGAGAAGCAGGATTATCGTTATTGTTCGACGCGTCTTCCGCCGCGCCGCTCTTATCGAATTCGGCATCACGGAGCGCGAATCACGCGGTATCGAGTCGTATAGCAGAACAAATTCAATTACGTAGTAATTCTCTGTCTCTTTTATGTATTTGCAATGTTCAGCTCTGCTCCCGTCAATGAATTTCTAGAAATGCTTTCGGTGGGCGTCTGAATGAGCCAAGGTGACGCATATAATCCAACATTTGGGAAATATGAGCTCACACTTTTTCTGCGTGTGATCCTCGGGAAAGTTCAGGTCGGTGTGCTTCGGGACTCGGTCTCGAAGCCCAAATAGCCCATATGATTCGGCCGAACAAGCCAGAAAAAGCCATTTAAGTCCTGCGAACCATCCCGATTCGGAATTGTCATACCTGTGTTGAAAGTTATTGTGCAGCCCAGACGTTTTCCATATCGAGTCAAGGTCGGCATGTTCTGCTCCCGAAAAATGAATTCATTACCTCAATGGATAACTGGGAATGGATGAGAATGTTGAAAGGTCAGGCGTCATGATGGACAATACGCAACCACGATCCGGCAGATCGACACCTTAGAATCGTACGGTCTACAGTCCTCATGCAGATCCTCGGATGAAGATCATACTGGCATGAATAGGGATTGGTATCGGGGAAGACTGAAGATTGTAGTACATGCTCGATGAGACCATTGAGAAGTTCCCAAGCGCTTAAACCCTTGATAAAATGTCATCACAACCTCCATGGAGAGGCATTGTCGCGTGTCAACCAAGGCTGACGATAGAACTCAGTCTATGGGGTTCCCCTTCGCATCTCGCCCCATCTTGGGAGAAACCTTGAAGATCCGGATTTTCGGAAGTTGAGCATCGGGGACGCGGGGCCAATCATAACATCAGCTCCGTTCCCTCCGAGAGATGGTCACCTCGATCTGCGAGCAGGCGGGTGAACGGAGCCCTAGCCTCGAAAAGTCCCCAGTTCTGCAGTCCTCACGGTATGAGCTCACCGTGAGCCCGTGAGAACGTCGTATACATTTTATCTTCAGTATCATATCTTTAGGCTTTAGGCGGCACGTCAACTGGCCGTCTGTGGTGAGGAAATGCGTCGAGGGAGACGTCCCATGACGGAAAGTCTCAAGGCTCCATCCACGAGTGTTCCGAATGAGCCTCTCATTCATCAATCAATCCACGTCCGAGAAAACTCGCCCCAGAGATGCCTCCGCATAGTTTCTGATTCTAATTGATCTGCTCCAAGGGTCGCGGTTTCGACAGTCATGGTCTGCCTCTACTGATACATCACGACGGGATTAGACAGTCGTCTCAGCGCGGAACAGCGCTTACGAATCGAATGATTCGTCGTGACCAAAGATTTCCGCGTGACCACCCTCCCTTGAGATCTCCCGATTCGTTGGAATCTTGGCTAAAGTTTTCTGAGGGAATGAGAATCGATTCTGGAACACCTACGCTCCCGAAAGAAAATTCGAAGGTCCAAAGTCATTCGAATTGTCCAGCGAGATGCATTTTTCCCCTCATTGTGAAGCCTAATTCTTATATCTGTAGGACATTTTCCGGTCCCCTAACGATCTGTGACGTTCCGAAGGCGACCCACGTGACTCGACGATCGATTGAATGTGTCACAGCAATATCTTGTCGCGATCGTTGCGATCGACTCAAGCCCATAGTTCGGAACATCCGAGAACAAACCGGATGGAGAGATTGAAGACAAAAGATTAACGAGTCTTCTGGGCTATGTTTTATTCCAAAAGTCTCCTCTAATTCACCGGAAGTCGTCGATGCATATGCAGTCTACAGAGAGGGGAACGGGGAAAGTGAAGCACAATCGAAGTGGAGTACGATCGGTTTCGCAAGGTGTAGAAACAGAATATATCGGAAGATAAAGCTTGAGTTGTGAGGAGCGCGACCCAGATTCTCAACCTCGGAGACGGGGGGCGGCACCCGCGCCTCCTTGGAGGGCGGCTTCGGCTCCTGTCGGTGCAGACGACTGGATGGTAACGTCGGCGGGGTTCTTGGACTCGGTTCCGAGCTCGTTGGTGATCACATCAGCGTGGAAGCCGGTCTCGTCAGCGTAATAGGTAACAGTCCTTTGTCGGCCATCAGCGAGTGTCAGAGTATAACTGCCCTGGACACGACCGTTTCCATCGGTAGATTCCTCGGCAGAAGACGACCCTTCGGCATCCTGGGTTTGGTAACTGTACTGGTAAGGGGTAGGGGGTCCGTACTGCTCCGCTTGGCCGGAGGCGACGTACCTTTGAGCCTCGGCCAATCCACACAAAACGACTGCGAGGGCAACGATTGTCTTCATGTTTCGGTTAACTAGAAAAAGTGGTTGCGTACTGGTATGCCGTTGTGGTTTTTATAATAATCCGGCGCTCCAGGGCCATCCGTTTCAGAGGAACAACCATCAGATGGGAGAGCCGATTTTAATGTCTAGTCACGACCCCAACATAAGCAGGGCATCCTTTTCTCTATCGGCCCGACATTGTTATGATGGTCAGATCGGTAAAACTTCATCAGATCTCTCCATCATTCTGGTTGTCGGATCAAATCGCTCCGACAATAGTCCGCTCTGCGAAATGATGCCCAGAAACTCGTTCTTGTATTCGGAACACCTGTAACTTATGCAAATATGCCTCGAAATCTTCCCGAATCGCTCAGTCAGTATTGAGGCCGTCGGAGTGTGGTGGGCAATCCGACTCCGAACATCTTGCTGCTGCCTCGACTGTCCCTCGTGGAGCTCGGGGAAGTTGGGGAGTGCAAGAACATAATTTCGATGGGAAGGGGAGGGGGGGGGAGGCTCCCGACAGGGATCGAGACTCCGGCACGAGATCTCATCTGCCACAGTTCCCATTTGGTATGGCCCCAGCTTGTTGTCGGACTACCAGGGACGTTGATGTCATAAAAAGCATAAAAAAAAGCTCCGGAAGAGCCTGAAAGGACACATCCTAGCTCCTTGCTCGACCGCTCGACGGGGTCGTTCGTAGGGGGAGCCCAGATTTTTTAAGTGTATCATCCGTGTCGGAAGGGCTGTAAGAAGACAATACTCCGTGGGAAGCGGCCAGAGCGCTCTCGGCCGGCGGAGCCTATGCTTCCAGTCCGGCTGTACTGGTAGGTACATTCCGAATAAAGTTCCGCCAAGTTACAAATATTTGTCCAAACCCCGAAATACAATATCATCATTGTTATTCAGTCGCCGTAACGATGTTCCGGTCTCGGGCTTCCACCTGCCACGGATCCCTCGTAGTCACAGAGCGGCCTCGACAATCAGATTCTGCATACCAGGGTGTCCATTTCAGATGTCTTTCTCCCGCAATTTATTCTCGAGCTTCACGAGTTTTTGACAAGAGCCTCTTTCTTGAATAACTCTCCAGAAGCAGCGGCGGATCCGGGGAGGGGGTTATATGACACCATGTTATGATCGAGTGGTATCTGCAGTTTGTAATTGTCCGACCCCTGAGCGGCGACGACCTATGTTCTGGGGGTGATCTCACTCAACTCAGTCAAACTCAGGTATTTTCCTTCTGGAGGTGGAACGTCGTGTCCTGTGCGACATGTTCCGCCGGGGAGAAGGATGCCAGCTCAGGGAGGCGGGGGGGGGGGGGCGAGAAAGGGGGAAGAATCTCACCGAAACCTCAAGGTCCGCGCGGGCATGCGTCTGTGACGTAACTTTTCTTCCAAACTTCGAATTTTCATTTGGCTCTCGCTCTCCCGACCTTCCCCTAATATAGTTCCGAATAACGCGCGTATAAAGACGCTGGAGCTCCTGTTATTGAGCGAATGCTCGTAAAACCATTTGTTTGTTTGTATTTTGACTTCAGAATACGGAGCGAATATGAAATGTTTGATTGCTCTGGCTGTGCTTTCCTCCCTCGCCGTCGAGGGTCAGCGTTTCGCTCGTCAGGCCGGGCATTACGGATCACCCCTCTGCCACTCCTCTTACCGAGCTGAGGATGCCGGGGGTTCGTCTTCAGCCTAGGAATCTAGTGATGGAACTTGGACGTCTTCATGGAAGCTATACTCTGAACCTAGCCGACGGGCGTCAGAGGGCGATCACGTACTGGCCTGACAAGCCAGGTTTCCACGCCGATGTCACCATCGACGAGTTCAGGACCGAGTCCGAAAAGCTCTTTGGAGTGACCATCCTATCCTGAGCTCCGAGCGGAGCCGAAGCGGCGCGCTCCTAAGCCGGCGGCGCTCCTCGCAGGGGAGCCCGAACCTCGAGGGAACTCTCAATGTTGTAATCCGGGTTACAAATCTGTTAATTAGGAGGAAAGGCCAAGATTGGAGGGATGCAGTGTCATCAGAAAAACACAGCCGCTTCCTTCTTCTCCGCGGGACTCCATGCTGTGAACAGCAGCGCTTCCTGAACTATGAAGGTTTATGCTAAACGGCCGGCCCGTCGATACACGGCGAAAAAGATCGATCGAATCGAAAAACTTGTTTGGAAACAACATTTGAGAACTTGAGGATACCAGAAACCGAAGAAGCATGATCGAGGAAATTGTATGCAATGTTTCGCGCGGCAGAATTTATCGGTCTTCATCAGGCAATCGAATTCTCGAGCCTTCAGGGTCTCGGACTCCCATGCGTATGGAAGTTCGAATGAGCTGATCCATGGCATTTAATTATCCACGTCGATGCAGAGTGCGCATGATTCGATCTGATAGAAAATCCGATTGGAACCTCATTCTTAAGTCTTGACTGACGGGGAGCGGGACCTGTGCTTGATGTCTATGAAGATGCAATGACCGAATGCATTTCTTGTCTTCAATGCGAGAAGTTTTCAAATCGAAATGTACCCTGGGGAGTCGGTGTTGCTTCTCATTTGATCGATCATCATTCCATTAAAGAAGACCCACTCCCGCGACTCGTCGCGGACCGGCCGACCTTCGAATGGCCTTTAACTAAAAGCATTAATCAACGGCACAACATATAACAAAAAAAAAACATACGCACACACCGACCATCATTGTTGGGTGCCCGATGTTCGACAAGAAAAAAATGAGCAGAAAATAAACGTTTTCTTCTGTGGAGAACGAAAATTTTTGTTTCTCATGTGCTAGGTCCCGTTTCTGGATACATGCCCGGAAACACCACAAAGCATCATCGCTGTTTTTCTTCTTGGAAGCCCGTTAGCTCGACATGGAACAGCTCAATCACAAAGGAGCGGTGACTTCGAACCTCTGACTCGTCGGACGTTTTCGCAAATGTAAATGCCCCCTCACTGCTTTGAAGCTCAGCGCCCAGAAGTCGGACATCGTTTCGAATCGAAAAACTTGAAGTTCTCCGAATCGGAATTGTCTGAATTCTGGAGCTCAATCATACACACAAGTAACGAAGCTCGGACTCTGCAGGTGATAGGGAGACCGAAGCTCAGTCATACATACATATGTTGGAGCTCGAACTCTGCAGGATATGGGGAGATTCCGTCATAGCGGGTTCCCGTGGGTCGACGCTTTTGCGCATCTCCGGACCTCTACCGACCGATCGACGCGACGGTCCCGCCTGGAAATCGGTTCGATACGCCCTAGGACCAGCTCAATCAGAGAGGGGTGCCGATACAACACTCCTACGACGATTAATGAATCACGTAATCTGCATAAGTAACTGACGGTCATAGCTATTTTAAACACGAACCTCACACGGGGGAGAGGCCGTACGCAGGATCTGAGAGGTGATAATCGGAGGGAAGTTTAGAGCAGCTAGACGTCTATTGGTATCAGTGACCGCAGCCCGTTATGACGGTCGGCTCAGGAGAGGAAAGGATATCCGTTGGACTGCCGCACAGACCAGATATCGGGAAAATCGTCGCGATTACAGGTTTTCTTAGGGTTTTCTGAAAACGACTTCCGCCACTTGAGTCTTACTATGACTTCGCACCGGTTATGGAAATGGATACCCACCTGAACAGCGTTTCGAAATTTCTGTTTCCGATTCGAGTAAAGCTCGGCAGACGACCTTTGACCTAATATAACTCGGACTTGGCCAGTCGCTCTGACCGGAGATTGGAGCAAAGCCATCTGGCGAGATAACTCATCTTTCAGAGGAGTCGACTAGCAAGCAGTGGGAGAGGCGCGGAATAATACCACGTAAACTATAAATTAAAGATAGGGGCTTCGACGACTAGTATTATAATCAAACAATGATCATGAGATCCATCGTCGTGCTCGGTGCTGTGGTCGCCCTGGCTGCAGCGCAACGCGCTGTGCTGGAGGAGAAGTACGGACCACCTGCGCCTTATCAATTCGCCTACGCCAGTGAGGATAAGGAAGGTTCTTCATCTCACGAAGAATCCACCGATGGATCCGGTCGTATCCAGGGCAAGTACACCCTGAACCTCGCTGACGGGCGAACTCGTACGGTCACTTATTACGCCGACGAGACCGGATTCCACGCCGATATCGTGACCAACGAGCTGGGAACTGAGTCCAAGAATCCCGCCGACGTGACCATCCAATCGTCAGCGCCCACCGGGGCCGAAGCCGCCCTTGCCGGTGAAGCATCGCGTCCTCTGCGAGGTCGCGCGTCCTTCGCCTCGCCGGTGGTCTACCCAGCGCCAGCTGCTAGCGCGTTCCGTGCCCTCGCACCTGTACACAACCGCTTCTTCCGCGCGTAGAAATCCGCAAGGAGAAATTCTCTTGGATGTCTCGGATGATGCTTTGCTATTGTACTCTATACCTTCCTGAAGATCAGGCCAGTCGCCGGCGGACTTCCTATTCCCTTCTTCTGCACGACTGCGACTCCACTGCCTCGCTCTGACTATAATCATATGGGGTCATATGGCACAGACCCATCCTCCTGTCACTGGAACTATTTTCCGGAGAATAAACAAAACATCCAGATTGAGTCTCACCGACATTAGGCCAAATCTGTGCCGAGCATCCCCGCGCTTCGTGCAACGATCTTCGGCACCATGATCTTGACGGGGAAATTCTTTGAGCTCATGGTCTCATGGTGATCCCCACATCCTGCGCCTCGGAGAAACTTCCGGAAAAAGAGAAATCAATCGATCCATGCATCTAGAATGGACAGTCAGGGTTCCCCGACGAGCTTTTTATCTTGTCCCAATTCACCCTCGTCCTTCGTGTCCCATAAATTCGAGGTTATGTTCGAAAAACCTTATTTACAAGTTTATTTCTGGGTTGCGCTCCTTGACAAAATTGATTCAAGAATACAAAGCTTTGGAGATCTAAATAGGAAATTAGAAAACAAGATAGGAATGGCACACAGAGTGAAATATCACAGAGCGTAACTTATTCGATGAGTCACTAGGATCCGAGGAGACGGCGTACGGCGATTAGGCGCGGAAGAATCGTCTGTGGACAGGGCCCAGAGCAGCGAAACCGTTCACTGCGGGGGCGGGAACCACGACGGGAGCCAGATACGAAGCCTTGGCCTTAACGCGCTGAGACTCGAACTGGAGAGCGGCCTCGGGTCCGGTGGGTGCAGAAGACTGGATCGTGACATCGGCGGGGTTCTTGGATTCGGTTCCGAGTTCGTTGGTGATCACATCGGCGTGGAAACCGGTCTCGTCGGCGTAATAGGTCACGGTCCTCTGGCGTCCATCAGCCAACGAGATCGTGTATTTGCCCGTTACACGTCCGGAACCGTCGGTGGATTCTTCGGCGGAGGACGATCCCTCTTTATCCTCGGTAGCGTAGCTGTACTGATACGGGGCGGGAGGTCCGTACTGCTCCGGCTGTTGTTGAGCTAGAGCGCATGCCACTACGGATGCGAGGACAACGAGGAACGTTTTCATATTGGATTTCGTTCGGTGCTTTGTGGTAGGAGCATGACAATCGCCACCAAGTTTATAGCAGCTGGCGAAGAGAGGGACGCTCTGGGGCGAAGGAGAACCGCTTAGGGTCACATCGATAGCTCCATCCACCGACTGAGGCATTCCCACCACCGTCGAAAACTGGCGAGACGTCGCGTGAACACTCTGAATGTAGTCGACCGCGATCATTTGCCCCCGCCTACCGCAGAAATTGGCGGAGGATCACATGTTGCCAAATTTGGTGGTTTTGGTGATGAGCTATGCGCGGACCAAGCCTCGTTCCGGGACGCGAGCCAGAAATGGTTTTCGGATCAGAATTCTCAGCAGAACCAGAGCCCAGGTCGCCAGGCCGTCTATTTCGCCCACGAGGACTCCGAAAATTCCTAGCTCACGCAGAAATTTCCGTGGAAACGGCTCACCATCTTTTCCGATCGGGAGTGTTCTTTGCCATTCTTATCGTTTTCTCTGACCACGACTTCCACACGCTTACGGCGAATTCTCGTCCAGTCCGTCGCCGAGATGTTCATTTTTCGGAGGAAGTCGATTTTCATTGTGTTCGAAGATTCCGGAACGCGCCACAAGACCTCGCACCGCGTAATGAATGACAGTGACGAGCGATATAAATGGTATTCTCCTCAAAACTTCTGCCGAAAGCCTGATCTATCCGTCGACTTGCTACCGATCATGACCAGCAGGGGACAATGTCAGTAGCAGCAACAGCAGACACTTGCTCGTGACGAAAACTCTGCCTGCTTCGCGAGGGTGGCTGTAAGCAACGTACGAACAGCACGAAACCATGTTTACGAGGGTCAAGAGCATCGCGGGTCAGATCTACGCTCGGTGACAGCCAGTCTGTATCAATACATTTTGATCAACAAGGAATGATAGCGTGTAAAAAAACCAATTTGAATTTATGCGTCGGCGCGGGTAGCGTTCCCTGATGAAACTTCTGTTCGACGAGCTGTACCGTTGTAAAACATTATATTCGACCATCATCCATCGCATGTGACCAGTCGGAGCGGGTCAGCGAATGTCGAGCGAATTTTTGCAAACGGTGCCGCGAAACCTATTGACACCTCAGGGGACGGACTGTTCAATTTCATTGCGATACTCGGAATCCCGCAGGATAACGGTTCGATCGGATCTGGCTTTGCGAAACTGCTCGTTGGGCTTCTCCGTATGAGCAGTTTTTGACAGTATTCCTTTTCTCTTCATGATTCCCCTCGAGAAACGGAAATAGAGTTCCGCGAAACGACGAGCGATCGGAGTCTATTCTAAATCGATATTTAACTCCATTTCCGGCTTCTCAACCCATATTCAGAATTCTCACGAGTCGGTCAGACATTAAGTTATGCGGATGATGAGGAGTACAGAAAATTTGAAATCAGTGATATTTCTACAGGTCGCTCCGGGATCGGCAGCCGTTTCAGCGGACGGCGCGACGGTGATTCGACGTCGTCGTCGATATTTTTGAGCGATAATTTTGAAAGGTCTAAGAATGAGGGTGATTCTTCGAGAAGAGAGAAAGTCAAGGGCTTCGAACGACAGCGATATTTCTTCTCGGTCGAAGACGCACAGGAATAAGTGGTTGTACACTAAACCAAGTTGTTCATCACTGGTGTCGCCATGACACCGTTCCGTAGAAAACCCGCAAACTGTTTGGACAGATTACGAATTCGGTAGAATTGCTAGGTACCAAACAAATATACATTTTCATTCAAATTTTTAGAGCGGAGTATTCTTCGACTCTTTCCAGTATTCCTGGCTCTGCGAGCGCCCGCTTTCGGCCGAAGCAGAACACGACAGCCTGAATGCAGTATACCAGGATTTCGAGGAAACCCTTCAGTCTGCGCGCGTTCCTATCGAGCAGAGACTCCCGCCGGATGGAGGCGGCGCCGACTCGCTCCTCTCAAAGGTAACAATCTGAAATCCCGGGGATCAATGGTATACCCACCCTACGCCCGACAGCCGTCGTTGAAGTCTACGTATCTACCTTAAAACTTCATCCTCAAATCGATCTACCCATCGCTAAGATCATATCCGAAAGCTATTAATTACAACCGTTCGAATCCTTTTGGGTCACGACGATGACCGTTCAAACGATTCAGAGTCGAACAATTCGGTGTCGATAGCGAGCGATGCCGTGAGATCCAGGGCAATCTCAACAGAGACATTAAGAGCATTAGACACTCGTTTATAGCCTTTGCTCGAAACAGCCGCTCTCGACCAGAGAGTCGAGTGTTATGAGTTATTGCCCCTGGCTTACAAATGGGACCAATTTTTTCTACCCTAGGAGCGTTCCCGCGCGATCGCCACTCGCGTAATGTTCCGCGGTGACTGGTGGAAGGTTCGTGCCTGTGGACTATTTCCCGCAAGTGCTCGTGCTCCTGAGTGTCTCGTTATCCTAAACTGATGAATTGATTTATTTTGGTGCCTCATCGGTGGCGAGATCGTTTTTCGGAGAGATCGGACGCGATTCGCGTATCTGCCGTTGGAAAACGCCCGGGCGATCCGGCTGATATATCAATTGGATGTCATCATCGCTCCGTAACTTCTCTCTTTCAAGGAGAATCTCAATAGCTTCCATTCGGAAACAGAACTACGAGTACTAAAAATCTCACTTCCACCTTTCGACCCTGACAAGTTTCTTTTACGAGAACTGAAGTCCACAGTGTCGGAATGACGGCATACCGTCGTTTGCGGTGCACTTTTTCTTACTTTCTTATTTTGAGCACATTACAACGATCCGGGGACGTCTCCAGAATGTCAGATTACGACTTTAAATGGAAAATTCTGAAGCCGACGATCACAATGTCTAACAAAAAATTCTGGCACCTTTAGCTTCCGGAGGGCAGACGTCATGTCTACACGAAAGAAGAACAGCAGAAAGCTGAAAAGCTCCTGGACATGATCTTCGGCGACTATCAGGACCTCGACGAAGACGACGGTTTCGTATCGATACGCCAACGAACGGATTCGGTCTCTTCGACCGGATCCATCGAAACTATATCGAGTTTGAATTATCCCTCCTCGAACGTAAGTTGTCAGGAGAGAAACCTCCCCTCGAGTCGATAGAGATTCCGCTCACTAATATCCAAAGCGAATTGATTCGCTTTTAATCAGCGCGGAATGCTCACTCGATATGGATGCTGTACGTGACTGGGTCACGTAGTGGAAAACGCATCGCTCCGGTTACCGAGAAACGATATCTGACATGGGACTAACCACGCGCAAAACCGCTTCGATTTCACCAGAGCGTCGCGTCGAGGCAACTCGAAATGACTCTAGCTTCTCTGAGTCCAGCGGGGAGCGACTCGCCTCCGTCTTCCCGGATCTCAATAGACCGCACAGCGCTTTCTAAAATCCGTAACCAGCTATCGTCGTGCTTGGAGAAAATGCGCGACCTTGAACTACAACTCAAAGACGTCCCGGTACTTCAGGTAGCTTGACGCAGCTTCTAGAGGCGGCAGCTATTACTAAAAATCGCTGATCGCGGCCTCCTAGAGTCATTATTGCAATAGCATTCAGTGCTTATGAACAAAAAAAAATATCTCTCTCCCGGAAACGGATACATTCGCGACCGCACTGCGAGACGTTTGATTTCTCACCAAGTTTCTTGATTAGGTCAAATTGTCGGTTCTCAAGGAGGAGAAACGCCTACTGAAACTTCAGTTGAGAGCCAAGAACCGCGGTGACGATTCCGCAGTGACGGGATCCCCTTCAATTTCGTCGATACTGGATATAACTTCTGCTGGCGAATCTCATACCGGAGATGAGACTCTAAACCAGTTGAGAATCCCATCACTTCTCCAAATCAAAACGCTTACGCCACCCCGTGAGCCGCCTCGCGTGCCTCCGATTCATTCAGAAGAGTCTATACCCAGACTTGCTCCTTTGCGATCTTCGTCGCCGACCCTTTCGCGGGGCAGAAGATCGGCGGCGGACAACGAATCGTCCGCAATTTTATTGAAAGACGAGTTATGGGACGAAGCCACCGGCCAACCGCGCTACAAGACAGAAGGCGATTCTTCGCAAGATATCGCCGACTATCTCAAAGACGCTTCGGTCAACGAGCCCTTGATTATCCCCAAGTGAGTTATTCTACCCTGCGCATCACTGGATCGATCCGATGACACTCCCATCGGTCGACTGAGCATCCCACGAAAGCCCATACCGTACTCCGGGAAGATCCTCTGAATTCTGGTTGTTTTCAGATTCTATAATCATACCGGGATCAACTGCTGTGCCGAAACCCGAGATCGAGGTACCCACACCGACATGGTCCACACACGTCACGCGGGAGTGGGATCCTCATCTCCTTTGCCGCCCCCCTTACGCGAAGTGTCTGAGAAAAAGCACCTGTGTGATCAATGCAATGAAAGTTTATTAAGACCCAAGCGCTACCCGAGAACATCGGCGACTCAGACAACCCCTGAGAAAGCGAAGGACTGTTCGGACTGCTCAGAAAGACGTAAACGCTCGCTAAGATCGACTTCCGTCAACACGGATTCTGAGGAGCCACCTAAGAAAACACCAAAAGAAACATTCACTTTTGACGTGTTGGATGGAACTTCAATCCTTCCGAAGCCTTGTGAAGAATGCGAAAAGCGAAAGCTGACGCGATCGTATTCGGTCAGCACGTCAACAGTGCCTTCGTCAACCCGTAATCAGTCCACGGATCCCATGGCCGAATCCCCGTCGATGTCCAGGTGAGTTCGCATTCGGATTTTTTTATCGCCATCCGACATGCGACAAAGGCTCATTTCGTGAACGATCGAATCAGTGGTCCTCTGCGAGAAGATTGTCCTTTATGCTGACTTGGCATTTCCCGCAGAAAAACTGCTCCGTCACCTCCCCCGAAACCGAAGAATTTCACCAGGAGCGTCGGTGTCCAGAGTTCGTATGCCGTCACAATCTCGCAAAGCGTCCAGGTATGTAGATCGATCGCTGCCTATTTCGCGAACTCGCTCATCGCAGATGTGTCTGCGGATTCTATTCGAGACGTTCCGCGCTCAACAGGTCAATCCGGAACTAGTCCGCACACGGGACTCTTCGTGTCAAAGCGATTCTCGGCTGAGCCAGCGTCAAGTCGGAACTCAGAGTGAACGGCTCCAGACGAATACGAATTCCGTAGCCAGCGGAGATTTCGATGTTCGGCACTCGGTCTGTGATAGCTGTTCCAGCAAACGGTTACGCAGCGTGGGAACCGGTGAGTCCCATGGGAGACGGTGATAAGGGCTCGGATGGATTAGGGGAGCATTCGTGACTCATTCGCGATCGCGCTCCGTGGTCGTATCCCGGTGCATTCAAATATACCTTGATTTAGGTGAAATAACGATATACGACGAGTGCTGCAATCGTTGTGGCGTCAAAAACAAGAGGGATGGCGGTGTCCAGTGCAATATATTGACGGAAAGCAACGTTCAGAGTTCGAAGGAACCTCTCGAGACATGCGATAAATACGTCCTCACCGACGACCCGTACTGCGAGGATATCACTGAGGTGAGAGAACTGAGCATCCCGATATGATTCCCCCGATTTTTCTCATTCGTAAAAGTTTCGTCTCAGACCCTTGACGGTGCCGCGGCCGTCTGCTCGACGCCCTCCACTGCGACGATGGGTTGAGCCTTCGGGGATCTCCGACCCGTTTGCAATGCAGGGGGCGATCGAGAAATTAGGTGTTCTGATTTTCCGCGCGTCGGTCCGCCTCGTGACATATTTTCTGCTCATACCGCCGTGCTTGACGCTCAATTGTTTTCATTTCGTTCTCAAGCTCATCGCGATCCCGTGCGAGCGCTGCGATGTGGAGCGCATAGATTGCGGCATGGGAGACGAGGACGTTTTCGCGGAAAAGGTAGAGCCCGAGTCCATGAGATTCAGTTTGTATAACGTCGTCCCAATCGAGATGCATGCGGAAACGTTACGTAGTTCCCAGCCCGACGCTTCCGCATACCCGGAGTGTATCGAATCCGTCATTCCAGGAAACGCCGAGGAAAGCAACCGAAGAGGTCGGAGTCATGACCGATCATTCCATCATAGAACCTCTGTGTTTCCCGCCGCAAGCGTCCGGAACCTCAGCCGGTGCGGCTTTGTCCAGGACCTCATCGGCCTCGTCAGTGAGTCATATTACCGGAGCCGTTCGTCTCTGCGACAAATGCAACTGTGCGATAGAGAGCGTTGCGAAGGACTTCATCGACAAGAACGAACACGACCCCATCGTGCCGAGCCTGCAGAGTCGAATCCCTAAGCTCAACCAACGGGGACCGCGAGCTCCGCCTCGCAGGGCGAAACCCGCAGCTTTTGACAGCGTCACCAAGTCGTTGAGGCGCGACGTTAGCGTAGACGACCAACAAATTCTCGCGCAGAATCAAAGTCTCCCCGAACCCGCGGAAAGGACAGGCGGAAAGTAAGTCTAGAACTCGGGAGTCGGTTTGACTCAGTGATTGCTTTCTCATCATCATCATCATTATTATCGATCTCACAATCGTTATCATCGCGAATGCCTCTGGTGTGATCACCGGCGAAAATAATTGGCAGAATTGCTTTCCGTAATCTACTACATTTTGGGAGATCGCGTCATTCCCTCGCGCAGTACATTTGCGGCGATGCGATCTATGACAATGCTTTTTGAGATCATTCCATCAACATCCACCTAGTTATCATTATCATCAGCATTGGAAGCGGTGGATCCGAACCCAAAATTAACTCCTGCTTGCTAACTCTCCTTAGAGGTACAAGTGACGGCTTCGAGAGCGACTACATGTCGGACTCGTCCTCGGACGACGAGGACGCTTTCGTGCCTGTGGGTCGAATCATTTGTCACATCCCGACACCTGTCGAGACTGGAGCTGCTTTGCTTGCTGTAGACCCGGCTGGTAGTTTGGTAGTGTGCCACAGTAGTAGCGGATGCAGTGATAGCGGAAGCAGTGTTGGCATATATGAGAGCTTCAGCTATTCACCCCCTGGCCTGACCCGCAGTAGGGAGACTGCACGTGACAAGTAAGTCGTTCGCTTGAAGGCTATCTAGCTTCTCGAGAGCTTCCTTAGACTAATGACCCAGAGCGAGAGCCCGGATCCGATTGTGTGGAAGACTCGGGAGAGTGTAGATTCTCTCCCCGTTTCTCTGGAACTGAACAATTGTCCCATTGAAGGCACACCCTGAGCCGAGACATGGACATCGCATGCAACATCCTCAACGAGTATCTCCAACGACCTGAAAACAGCGATCCGAACAAATTGGTGAGATTCCGACGTTCTTCGAATCGACTCGTAGAGAAATCCACAGAGACGCTTCCCTCCTCATCGTGGAAGCTGGGCCGCTAGAGTGGTGAGATTAGAATCCAGGGCGGTGGATTTGCTCACGGAAGGGTTCAATTGTTTGCAGAAATCAGCGTTGCAGACCATTCAGACTGAATGGTTCAAAGTGACAAATCGCGTCGACATCGATCCCTATCAGATTCAAGACTATCTGGAAGAATTCGATAAGATGTCCAATCACCTGCTGCATCGCATCGTCAACATGGCGGACAACAATGTAATTACGTCAGAGAACCCATCGGACTATGCCTTATGGATCCTTCGGGAGCTGACGGCGGAAAATTACTGGAAGACCGAGGATGGACACACCGTTCCCATAGGGCCTACTATATCGCCGCGAAACGGAAAACTGACCAGCTTTTCTTTCAAATTCCAGGGCAATACTGCGCTTCATTATGCCGTATCGCATGGCAATTTCTCCGTGGTGACCAGACTTCTCGACTCAAAAGTGACGGATGTCAACAAGCAGAACAAAGCCGGGTACACGCCTGTCATGCTTGTCGCACTCGCCGACGTCGACAATGACTCCCACAAAGTGACAGTTCAAAGACTGTTTGCCACTGGTGACGTCAATTCGAAGGTACGCTAGTTTTCCGACCCTCGTATAAAGAAAACGAAGACGCAGTTGGGCTCCTCCATAGCCCCACGAACATTACTCCATTGTAAAGTCCGCTATCCATACAAAACACTGTGTGCCCCTGGTCAGCTTCGAATTTATTTGCGTCGATCTTAGGAACCTATTGATGAGCGATATCTTATATGATCACGAGCCGCTCTGCTCACTCACTCGATGGCTTCGATGAAGCTCAGGAACATAGAACTGTCCGCGAGACCTTCAACCTCTCGATTAGCGTCGACGATAACGCAAGCCGGAGCCTGAAGGATAATGTCATACAGTTGTCCGAGTGTTCCCTCGTCGATTGGTAGGACCGGCACGCGGGAAGGCCCTTCGATTTTCTTCTTGGTACCTTCAATGCTCGTCATGGCCTTGAGGACGTCGGTCTTGGAAATGTATCCGTAGGAGGTTTTGTACCGACCGTCGTCGACCAAGATGCAGGACACGTGTGGCTTGTTGGAGAATTCCATCTTCGCGTGCGCGAAGGTCGCTCCTGGCGGCAAGACGACCGCGGGTTGAATCGGGAAAGACCTCAGAGGTTTGTCGTACCACGAAGGTTTTGACGCCGGTTCGGAAAACTCCCGTTTGGCGAAGTTCCTCTCAACCATCCACTCGCTCGACAGAAACTTGGTCATGTAGTTCCGAACACCGTCGGGGAGGACAACAACGCAGCGTTGACTTTTGTTCAGAGTCTTCGCCGCCCTGAGGGCACCCGCTAGCGCAGCACCGGAACTTCCTCCACATAGCAGTCCTTCGTCTCTGATGAGACGGCGAGCCATCTCGAAGCTCTCTGTATCGTCCGTTCGCAGCCACGAGTCGGCCAGATTGACATCGAGTACCGAAGGGATGAAATCGTATCCGATACCTTCGACCTCGTAGAAATCCACGCCCGGTCTGCTTTTTTCGTACGAATCGGCGAGGATCGAGCCATGGGGATCGAGTGCCACGATTTTACAAGACGGTAGTTTTTCCCTGAACTTCTTGGCAATCCCGGTGAAAGTTCCGCCGGTCCCCGCGGAAACGACGACCATGTCCAATTTTCCATCACATTGCTGCAGAATTTCCTCGGCCGTTGTGTCGAAATGCGCGATCGGATTGTAAGGATTCCGGTACTGATCCAGGATCACGGCACCGGGGATTTCCTTGCACAACTTCATGGCGATCCCGACGTGAGAGTCCGGATCGGTGAATCCGGCGCTGGTGCGGGATCGGATGATTCGAGCACCGAGTCCTCTCAAAACATCGATTTTCTCATTGCTCATTTTTTCCGGGATGACAATTATACATTTGTAGCCCTTCACTGCGGCAGCGAGCGCCAAACCGATCCCGGTGTTGCCAGACGTTGGCTCGATGATCGTGGAGCCCGGTTTGAGCACGCCGTCTTTTTCGGCTTCCTCGACCATTCTCAACGCGATCCGATCTTTGACACTGCCACCCGGGTTGAAGAACTCACATTTGACCAACATCTCGCACTCGATGCCCTCTGCCTCTGGAATTTTATTCAGACGGACCAGAGGCGTTTGTCCAACGACGTCGAGAATCGTATCGCATATCGGTGGTCTCGTCGTGGACTTGTTGTGTCTGTGCGGATTCTTTCTGGTCTCAGACGGCCATTCGCACTTCATGACCGCATCGGGTAGAGTACCGTGAGGATCTTCGAAGGTGTTGTATCGGTACGCCATCTTCACGTAGATTCTGCAAGCAAACAAGAGTTGAATAATTCGATTGCATGTCATCGATGAAGAATGAAGTGCACTTAGTGAGACATGAGGCTCTCTCGACGGCACAGCTGCGCTATGCATCCGACGGCGGAAATGCGGCGAATGATTGCAGAACGAATCAATGGAACGCGATTTCGGTGGTATTCGGAGAAATAAGCCCCGGACCGCATTTGTAAAACTACGGTGGAGACACTCACGCAAAGCGCTGCGCCAGCGTAAACACAAGCACGGGGGCATCCTCCTTCAAACCGGAGCGACCCGGGTTCATTGGTAGGACAAAGCGAACTAGGAATTCATCATGATGAGCTACTTACTTAGGAACGAATCAGAGCGGTCGGGAACAGCTCCACGTTCTATTGAGCGCCAGCAAGTTTCCGCTGGATGCACTCCACCGGTGTCTAGCAGATCGAATGTTTCTCGTCTCCCTCTCCAACAATGGGCGAGAGCTTCCTCCGTGAATTCGCTCTCTCCCCGCTCCGCGATCCAGCCATCAATTCACCGGCGGGAATATCCCATGGGAGTTTATGCGAAACTTTCAGAATGTCCCGAATTCGAATTCCTTCTGCGCGCTCTTGTCGAAGAAGGCGGGAAGTGGGGCGTTGAAATCTCGGCTCACAGTAATACGCTAAATATATTATTTCTCTCCCGCGCAGGCTTCTCAGAATGGACAGACTGCACTGATGTTAGCTGCCTCGCACGGCAAGGGTGAAATGGTCAAAATGCTGCTTGACGCCGATGCGGATCCGAATACGCAGGACAACGACGGATCCACTGCGTTGATGTGCGCCGCCGAACACGGATACATCGATGTAGTTCGGATACTTTTGGCCAATCCCGACGTCGAAATCAACATCGCTGATAATGTGAGAATACTCTCCCTCTCTCTCGCCTGTGACTTCGTATTTCACGGAACTCATTCCCCTCCGACGAGTACGAAGATGATTCTAATTGAACCTTCAAATCGTAGGACGGCCAAACCGCTCTGTCTATCGCCATGGAAGCTGGTCACAAAGACACGGCGCTGCTAATCTACGCCAGTTCGAACTTCTCTCGAGGAAATTCACCCGTGAGCACCTCGATCTAGCTGTCATTCGATTTTCACATCGAGATCCCGCGTTCGAGTCTCTGTCCGAGTCTGGTGCACCCTTTCCTGACGCAGATCCCCATCGAGAACTCGTGCTTAACGAATGAAATTCCAATTTTCAGTACTCGTCTCTTCGTGGACGAAAGTCTCGAATCTCACCTCGAGCGACGCCTCCGCCATCCAGACCCTCCAGAACTCCTCCACCGAGTCGACCATCTCGAACTCCACCGCCGCCGTCACCCTCCAGATCGCGGAAAGGATCGACGTCGTCTGTGTCGAGTTTCAGTAGAGCATGGTTCTAGGGAGGTTCTGGCTCAGAGTTGGGAATCCGTGGACGATACCTAGAGTATAGATAGTCATTTTTCGAATGAAATCAATCACCGTTATGTCTACGATGGATTTGTGGATCGCCAGAACGGATCGTCTGAAAGAAAACGATTCGCATTCCCAAACAAATCATTGTTAACATTCATTGATTGGAACTCCATCGGGACTTCGAGAATGTCGTTGATTATACAATTCATATCAGCTACCCCGAATGAGCTTGAGTTGAGCATAACCTTTAGCAGAAGGCTTCTTCAACAACCTTGATTGACTCACCGGAGCGAGTTGTCTCGGACGTGCCAGTGTCAAAATGACTGTCGATTTCAAATGAATAACGCGTACGCTGAATAAACCGAGGTTAACGGAGTTTTAATGTTACTTCTGGTCTTCATTATGCTGGTGACCCGAACCCGCGGATCTGCTCCTCAGCGAGCAGGCCCTGGCCGCTCAGTCGAGAAATTAAAATTGCCGAAGCCGCGGCATGACCTCGAGAAATGTTTTCAAAACTTGGGCGTGGCGATCTTCCCCCCTGGTGGGACTGGAGAAATTCCTGGGAAGGCGTGAACGAGGCAAATTCTTGGAAGAGAATTCGGATCTGATGGATCGAATCGTCAGCGAGTATGGTCGACAAGCGCACCCTTCACATGGCTGAATATGGAAATATCAGGTCAACCCCAGCCCCAAGGGCCACGGGGGACCCTGCGAAGACGGGCAGAATCGGCAACTCATTCTCTCCAGAGCGTCGTCAGAGCCTCGGGATCGATCCGTATAAACCCGCCGGAGCTGGTCAGAGGGACACGGCTCCGTCCATTCGAGTCATTGGGTCCCTTTGGAATTCCTCCTTAAAAGATCTCCGCTCAGTATCAGAGTCCATCTGGTTCTCGGCTTCTGCAGCGTACTCCCGAGGCTCGCTTTTCCGTCGTGAATGAACGAGTCGCGTCCGCTCCGTGTATCGACGATTGCGATCCCGCACAGTGGCGCGCTCCCGTGAGCATGCGTGATGTGAGTTTCTCCAAGTGTGACCGCTCTAGTCCACGTACCCCCTCGCGGATGAGCCCACACTCTGCCAGCTCACCACTCGGGCGACAGCCCAACAGACTGAAATATGCCGCAGATTCGTAACAGGGCCAAACGTCCGTCCATATCAAAATGTTCCCCCGTGCCGGAGGAACAGGAACCACTGATTGTGGAAGAAGAGAAACTTCACATCGCTAGACAAACGAAGGACCCGCTATGGATAACCTGTCTCGAGGTAAGATAGCGCGAGCTCGCATGACCGCTGTGAAACTTCTTACCGCTGATCAGCCGCAAGGCCAAAGATCAGCGTTTCGGAATGTTGAGGAGATTCGATTCCATAAGAGAGCACTGTCGCCTCCAGATATTCGGGGTAGCCCTGTTGGTGTTCCTGTTGTGGTTCTGTTGGCGGCACGATGAACTCGTCCACCTCCAGACGGCGAAAATTTACGCGAATCTCGGCCATCCTCAAGCCCAGCATGTCCTCGCCCATCGATACCTCAACGGCTCAGGTGAATACCGGTAGATCTCCCGTCGCATTTGAGTATGTGGATATCTTCCAGGGGTCGGATGATTCCAAGAGAACCTAAGTGATTCTCCGATTAGGTGTGGAAAAAGATCATGCAGAGGCCATGAGATGGTTCCGAAAGTCCGCGGACCAAGGTCATCCGCATTCAGCGTACAACCTGGCTGTTGGCCACATGCAGGGACTGCCGACCGATGTTCAGAAGGGGTAAGTATCCAGCAGCGTTCCGGACGGGAAGATGAGCCCTCTCATCGGATATCGACTCCGAAATTTACTCTGGATCTCCCCTTTCCAGAGAAGCTCGGAAACTAATCAAGCACGCGATGGAGAATGGCGTCGAGGAAGCTCACCACATCTACCACACGGTTTGCAAAACTGGAGAACATTGCGATCATTGAAGCCAAGGAAAGGATAGCTCTTTCATCCCCGTAGCGTTTTCACTCCAATAAATGAACAGTGCTGAAGAATCCGCGATGACTGTCTTGCAAGCAACCCTCGATGCCCGGCAACTAGACGATCAGGTGTAGGTTTGAATATCTCTAGCTTCGCGGAGCTCACGTCGAGATGATTTTTAGGATCTGCGGGAATCGCGGTGGCCCTTTGGTTCGAATACGCGGTATGTCCTTGGTTCCATCGCAGGTTCCATCGCTTGCGAGTCCTTGAACGAGCCCGAGCTCTTCTCAGGCCCGCCAAGGACGGAAGGGAGAGTCAAACATGAGCGGGTATCTCGACGAGAAGCTTTCCGGTGGTGCATCAGATGCCGTCGTCCTAGAATCCCGACGTACAACTCCAAGTTCCTGATCGCGTGTTTGAGCTGAGTTCCGTCGACCCGAAGTCCGGGCTAAGCAAGACTGGCGTAAGCCGACAGTCTCGAGAAATTCCGGAATCGTTCCCGAAGAGCAGCGGACGTCAGCGAATCTGGCTTCACGCCATATAGTACCCCGTGAGCGCGAGGAGGGAGCCCCCGGGAGACGGGAGACCTGCTCGATCAGTCCTATCGAGCAATTAGTAGCTCACCTTCATCGATCAACGAGCCGAGGAAATCTATGACGATGTATTAGGTCGAGTTAATTGAGGTCGCTTGCCCTGGAGAGGGATTCGCAGCGTCCTCCTCGAAGCGAGGAAAATCCCGATCAGACGAGCCGCTCGGTCCGCTACGAGTGCATATTTGAATTTTCGCGCCACGGGTAGCAGCGCTCCTTTCTGTCTGTTGTTGTTCCTCTCCCCCCTCATCCCGGTGTGCACTGCACTCTATTAGTGACACCGGTCCGGAGTTCTCCCAGAATCACCGTCGGGATGGAGTACTCGAACCCGATGGCCCCACCGGGCCTCCCCGTTGCATCAGAGTAAGTCCGATGCGCTTGACTGTTCTGGAATTATTCGCAGAAGGGCGATACAGTTTCTCCTCCTGGGCCGTTGGGGGAATCAATTCGCACTGCCGATTGTATCGTTGGTGATACTTGCCTGAAATAAAATTTGGGACTTGCCTTGACACCCTATCTCGATGCGGTGTGATTATCCTGGTCTGAGTCGAGTATTTTACAGAGCGAGCGTCAGAAACATGACGAATGCGGACTTCCGGAAACTCATGATGACACCGAGATCGGGAGCCACTGGTGCGGGTCGCCCCGGCACCGAGAGGTCGACCACAGCATCGATGCCTGCCCCGAAAACACCTGCAAGCGCTTCACAGATCGATCGAAAGAAGAAAAAGCAATTCTACGCAAATTTGCGTAAACAAGAGGTTTGTGAACCTGAGCTAGCTCTGGGAGCCGAAATCCCATCTGCCCCTCGTAGACTCGTCCAAAGACTGGAACGATGAGAGTGACATTCAAAATTCTCTTGAATCACAGGACGACAAACTGGCTGAGCTCGCGTCAAAGTATCGAGACCGAGCGAAGGAGCGGCGGGACGGACAAGGAGTTGATGACGAAGCGATCACCGCAAACGCGGGCTATCACGCTGTCGCGCCGGATCTCAAGTCGTAAGTAGGCGAAGTTGCGATGTCGCGAACCTCCCGAGGGGGTTGCATGGTACCCGTCCATGTTGGAACATGAGCCCCTCAGACCTTCGGAATATATTCACGGATCGCTTACTCACGCAAAATTATTCCTTCTCTCGTCAGGAATCTCAACGCCGCCGAACGCCGTAAGCAACAGATTCAGGAATCGAAATTTTTGGGAGGAGACATGGAACACACTCATCTTGTGAAAGGTCTAGATTATGCCCTCCTGCAGAAAGTTCGCAGTGAAATTGAATTGAAAGAGGTGGGTGTTTCAGGGCATTCGCCGCTCGATTCGAGATGGGCTCTACGTATTGAGTTTATGGGATGAATCGATCCTAGGCATCCGATAGAGCTATCGAGTACGTGTTCCCACGTTTCAACGTCTTACCATTCTCTCTCGCAGGAGGTAGATTTCGAGGAGGCTCTCAGAGTCGAACAGGAAGAGAAACAGAGTCAGGACAAGAGAGCTAAGGAAGAAGTCGAGGAACAGGGGAAGCTGCAGTTCCGCACGGCAATGGCGAAAAACATAAATCGGCTTCTCTTCGCTCAGAACTCGACGAAAGTCGAGCGGAACGAACTCTTTCTACCCCAAAGAATGGCCTACGTCATCGAATTGGATGAGGGTGAAAGCGATATCCCCACGGCTCTGATCAGGAGCAAGCAAGACTGCCCTGAAATGGGGCTGGCTTCGACCTCGCTGACGACGAACGATATCGTCATCAACAAACTTACTCAAATTCTCGGATACCTGCGGTGAGTCCCTCTGCCCCGCGAGCAGGATTTTTCCCGGCTCCTCAACGCTCGCCTGGATTCCATCCAGTCTAATCCTCCTTTCCAACCCACCTTCCAGATCTGGGTTGAGTATTCGCAAGAACAAGAAACGTGTCGGGCTCGAGGAGAAAGAGGAGAATCAGCCGCGGCCGGACTCGAATAAGGAACCTCGGAAGCCGAAGGATTCGGACGTCAGCATTTTCGACGACGTCGGAGACTATAATCCTTCGAAGGAGAAGCGTCGGGAGCGAGATGATCGAGATCGCGACGACAGAGACCACAGACGTCACAGACAATCGTAAGAGCTGAACCCAGCGTTAGACTCCCGCTCCTCAGGGCAGGAAGGAAATCGAGACTCTGTGCCATTCGAATGGATCGACTCTGAAATCGTAATTTTGATTGGGACCTTTTTCTTAGTGATCGACGAAGGAGGGATCGGGAGAACGACACGAGGCGCGACGACAAGCGAGACCGTGGTCGCGATGAAAAACAAGAGGCCCGACCGCGGTATTTCAAGGATGAACCAGAGGACAAAGGACCCAAAACGCTCGAAGCAGAACAGTCGGATGCCCTGCTCAAAAACGCTCTGACGTCGAAAGATCCGAAGGATGGGCGATTCAAGGATAGACTTGCGAAACTCACCCAGCAGGGTATGGAGCATATCGCGATCAATCCCATACTGCCCGTAGAGCCCGTAGAGCGTGTTTTATTCGCGATTCACCCGTCGCTCATCCGGGATACTCGGTTCATACTCGAGATATTAATTGGTATTGATTCCTCAGAGGATTACTACAGCGAGTGTTATCCTGGGATGCCTGAAAATGATGACGCCATCGTCGATTCGGACGAGGAGGAAGATCTCAGCAAAATGGACACCGGCAAGAAGAAGGGCCCACTGAATCGGTGAGGGATCCGCTCATACGCAATACAATGTCTCCCTGATATCCTCGGTGGATTCGTTAGAATGTTGTGCTAAGTTTTCGCTCCTTCCTCTCTCAAGTTGGGATTTCGAAACCCACGAAGAGTATGCTGAATACATGGACCAGAAGGAAGCCATGCCCAAGGCAGCTTTCCAATACGGTGTCAAGATGACAGAGGGCCGGAAAACCAGAACGACCAAGGCTGCTGGTCCGATGGGAGGCGCGAGAAAGGTATTTTCCTTACAATCCTTGAGTCGACGAGCTCTCAACGGGCTTCCGCTTTCGACAAATGTACTGATTCGCACTCTCCGATTTCAGGATAAGATGAAACTGGATCGTGAGCTTCAGCAGATCACTCAGATTCTAGCGAAACGCAAAGGCGGCGATGGCGAGAAATCTTCGAAGCATGCCAAATATGACGACTGATTGTTGGGCTACTTGATAGCAATGTTGCACTTTTTGTACTCTAAATATCAATAGAATAAATCTGTATATCGTTCCTCAATCGAATTCTGAGTCCCGCTCCCTCGGAAAGATCTCACAAAAATCAGAACGACGAGTGCTCGCGGCAATTCTGGAAAATACTCGTCTCGGAATATCACGGCGCAGCCTACTCATGAGGTCAGTACTAATTGACTCCGCAACGCGAGTCGTAGCTAATGTTCGAATCGTTGACGGAAACGAAGCTCGATCCGAGAGAGTTACCTGCGGAGATTTCGGATGTCGTCGAAGCCTGGAGGGGTCTACACCCAAATCTGCAGGTTTTCCTGGCTCATACTGTTCTCCCCATCCTTGATATGCGCCCTCGTATCCGCATGTCTGTATACGATTGTCTACATCTTCGTGACGTGTTTCCCAGTTCTGAGGAAAATCTGCATCTGCCTCAGCAAATTCATTGAGATGCCATACGCTTGTATTGACAACAGCATTCACGGACGAGACTTTCACGATGGCTATCTCTACATCCTTGCTTGAACGAACTGGCTAATGGAACGGCTGTTTGCATGACGAACAGCGAAGCAGAATGGAGGGATCGAGGTGAGCGCTCACCAGCCGCGTGGTCGAGGCGTTTCGCAGTTTACCCATGGTGCCCCTCCCCGCCTTCCCGGAAAGCTGTGGTCGAGAGCAGGGCTTTGAGCTGAATGAAGTTTCCCAAATACGATGCCTGACTTATGAGAACTTTCTTATGTACGAGAAATATGAGGATCAGAACCAGAATATCCGGCTCATGTTCACGAACATGGAACAGAGTGACTGCAGAATACGGAAAAAATCCGTTCCCTTACGAGCCCCGACTGACACATTCGGCGTGATCCGGATACGTTTTCCCTGTTGACGGATCGTCTCTTCCACGGACATCCCTAGGCTACCAAGAGAGAGCCGGCCCTCATTGACTTATAACCAGACTTTATTGGCAGCAACATGCCACTGCTTCGTTATCTCGTTCCCACGTCTCCGTTGCCCATTTGCCCATGTCCCGACACCCCTCCCCGTGGGGTTGCATTTCTCAAATGAGTCATTCGAACCAGCTTACGACTAACTAGAATGAAAATTCGAATTCGCCTAGAGCCGAACCTGCCACATGTGGCCCCGAAGAATCGTGTAATCGGGAAGACCTTCGACGGGACCGACCGCGGCGACGACGGGGCACTTGTCATAGAGATACTCCTCGCAGACCTTTCGGAGCGTCGCTGCGTCCACGGCATCGATACGAGCCTCCAGTTCGTGGAGAGGGATTCGTCGTCCGTAGCAGAGCATTTGACGTCCGATATCCTCGCAGATGGATGTGGTTCCGTCGAGCTGTAGGAGGAGATTTGTCTTGAGAAGGTTCTTCGCTCGGGTGACATCGGCTTCGGTGGCGCCGGTCACGAGCCTCATCCACTGCTCTTGAATTTGGAGGACCGCCCGTTGAACTTCGACACCGTTGGTCGCTACGAAATAAATTCCCCAGAGACCGGTGTCGTTGTAGCAGGTGTTGAACGATTGGAAAGAATGAACCACCTGGTCCGGATCGGCTGCGTAAGCCGCGGCGAGTCGAGAGGTCGCGTTGTTTCCACCTCCATGGGAGCGATCCCACGAGCCGATCATGGTGTTGCCGATCATGAGAGGAATGTTGTCCGGATTCTTCCAGCCAGCACCCTCGACAGCAATGGCTGCGTGCATGAAAGGCATGTCGTCGTCACGCACTCTCATGTCGGATCCAGTGTAGCGGCAGGGCATTACGTCATAGACCTTCTGATCCATCGAGTTAGACACTTTGCCGAAGTTCTGCTCGGCGAGCTTCACGAGTTCGTCGTGGTCGATTCCGCCGGCTCCAGCGATCACGAGACGAGAACCAGTGTAGTGCTCCTTGATGTAGGTCTGAAGATCCTGCTTCTTCAAGGATTTGATGTTCTCAGTGGGACCGAGGATTGTCATGCCGAGAGGGGTTCCTTGGTATGCCACCGAGTGGAGATGATCGAACACCACCTCTTGAAGGTTGCCTTCAACCTCCTCCATCTCTCTGAGGATCACAGATCGCTCGCGCTCGATTTCTTGCTCGCCCAACTTAGGATTCTGAGTGATGTCGGCGATGATGTCGACCGCCTTTGCCACGTCCTGGAATTAACCGAAAATTAAGTGGAAAAGAATAATTATCATTATGCTCTGATTTTTTCTTCCTGAGGAGATGGCGCATGGGGATCGGAATGCAAAAGACAGTCAGCTGTCAAGATCCTCTGTAGTTTCTGGTAAGAAGGTCAAAAGGATTGAGTTCCCCCATGCCCCGGCGCCCGCGAGGATATCGCGGTTCTCTCCAAGGACTTCTCCATAAAAATAATGTCTCTCACCTTGGTAAGACATTTGGCGTAGTAGACCGTCTGTTCCCGGGAGGTGTAGGCGTTCAAGTGCATTCCGGCGTTCTCGACCTCAAGCTCGAGATCGGTCTGACTGCGCTTCTCGGTTCCCTGAAGTCGGAAAACGGCTAATTATTATACGCGAATCCCGATGATTTTCGGAGAGAGTTCACCATTCTGTCATAGCAAAATCGCAGCCCAGGATGTCACGGAGCTCGACATCGTTTGGTCGATTCGATAGATGTGACCCCGCGCGGAAAACATCTAGCTCACCTTGAAAGCCATGTGCTCCAAGAAATGAGCGACACCGTTGGTTTTTCGGTTTCATATCGACTTCCTGCATCGATCCACACGCCGACGGTAGCCGTCGGACCTCCATTATTCTCGGTGGCAACGCGAACACCATTGGACAGGGTGGTCACGCGGGTCTCCGGGATGTTCAGGAGAGTCTGCGAGAAGGTTGTGCGTGCCAGATGCGTGAGGGAACGTTTTGGAGCACCCGAGATACGGGCGCCCGCGCGCAGAATCGCTGCGAAGGGACGCATGATGAAGTTTCCAGGGAACTGAACTGACTTTGCAGTGCCCTCCTCGCTGTGACCAAAACAAAAGCAGAGGGTCGTCTGCTAAGCACCAGTCGGTCGGCCTTCCCCGATGGCAGCAGAGGCCAATCGTTCCCCATCTCCATCCTCTCAAGCGGGCTGCTTGAGAACTCCTGGAACGGATTCTCGAAGGTACGCCGCGGAAATTCCGGAAGGAGCCCGCGGCGAAACGAACAGACTTCTGGCTCAATTAAGGATTTCCCGTTTCGGTCGGAGTCCGTCGAGTATGTGTGTGGTGTTTATGCCCGCGAATCGATACATCAGGGGGGCAGTGTGAGGATGCGACATCGTCGGGTGATCCTCTTCTGCCAGATATCGGATCAATTAGCAACCGGGATTCAGGTGCTCCAAAGCACCCAATCGAGGATCTGAGCGCTCATCTCGGAGGGTGCGCGGATGTCCGCGAGTTTCACATGGGGATCGTGTGTCCCGCTCCGGATTCCGCTAGATCGGCGCGCGGCGGCCGTAATGTACTCTACAGGCAGAAGGCGGGAGAGTCCCGCCTTGATAACTAAAAAACGTGAGACCGGAATAAAGGTATCAACTCGAAAGGAGACAACGGGTGTCGAGAGACGCCGTTCACTGGCTGTTGGCTACCCCATGGGAGACCCCACGGCTCTCGGATAACGAGATGCACAGTCCAAAAATAAGATCTGTACATGGAGACGGGAATGTCGATGATCCCTGGCGTTCGATCGATATTAGGCGGCTCTTCCGGGATGCAGCGCGATCCACTATAGGATCACATCACGGGGAATCGCTCATGTCAGGGCCGCGGGTCCTACAGGTCTAAGGCTTTGATCCCGGGATCCTGTACGATCTTCCGCGATATCCGATATGATCCCGGAGGGTTCATGAGGATGGCGCCGTCCTGAATTTTTGCTGAAATAGCAGGCCGAATGTGAAGGTGATTCCCAGACCAGTTTCATCGGTGTTCGTGATATCGGGAAGGATCCCTCAGGATTCCTGAGGATCGCGCATCCCTTGAACGCTCGCGCCTGAACGGAGGGACGTCGAGCGTCGTCCCGATCCATGGCGCGACCTAATTGGTTAAGACAAGGATGGAACATTCAGATACCCTTGGAGTGGAACAAACAGATGATATTTGAGACCCGTGTAGGCTCCGGTCGAAAATCGAGATCGCTGAAGGTGGCTCGCGTTCGACCACTGTGTTCAAAAATTAGATCTACGACTGAAGGTTCGCAGAGCCGAGAAAAAGCAGAAAAGTCACGAACTCCTAGTCGGATCTCTAGTGGCGAGCACTTTCGCTGCTCGAGATATCAACGAGCCAAGTGAACCCTGCGGTTAACCAATCGTTGTCCATCTTCCATCATATCGGTATTGAGCTCCTCACACAGGTAATTTCCGGCCCACTAGGTCCTGGCTCTAAACTTCTGATACTCACATGGTTTCTGACCGAAAGGGTCTGAACTGAATTGTCTCGCCGCGCGATCTCCTTGAAATATCGCGCCGGTCAGAGTGATGAGATCTTCTCTGAAAAAAATTGCCCCGAGTTCAAATTTGGAGTGCGATCCTCAAGGACGTTCAAAGATTCTCTCTGAAGCTGCGATGAGTCTCGGAGGTTCCCGGGATCCTATTCGAGGTCCGCCCGCCCAACAAGGCACGTTCAAGGAAGGCGGGATCCCCGAAGATCCCATTCAGAATCTGGGGATCCCTGCTCTATAGGAGCCCGAGGGTGACGCGATCTTCAGAGCCCTCCGAATGATCCTATCGGGTATCGAAGCGGGTTTCGGGAGCTGAGCATCCTGGGATTTCGATGCTCCGGAAACGTTGGAGGGAGCGCCGGTTTCCCATAGGACGCTGGACAAAGATCACCGACATCATCGTCTCCATGTACCACTTTACAGATCTCGATTTTGGAACTCCTGTCCCGTTCGTATTCGAGGACGGGTTCTTCCATAGAGTGGCGGAGATTGTTCTAACGGTATCTCTCAGCACACGTTATCCCGTTCAAGGAAATACCGTTCTCCCGGTGTTCCGTTCTTCATTTTACCACGACTAGGCGGGACATTAAACGCCATCTTGACAAGTTGTGTGTGGGTGCTGCTGCTGCTGCTGCCCTGCTCTTGGTTGTGTGGGATCAGTCGGAGTGCGGAGCTCAGACAGCGAGGAGCTCGAGCGCGCGAACCACCGAGCTCCGCGAGAACAGCATTTGTTGAGTGATCGTATTGTGTTTTTCACAGTTTACTGACATTTGTTCGTGTCTGTCAAGACGATTCAGGCAGCTATGAATCGCCACGACGTTCCACCTGAGCTTACGAATCTCCTGATGGAGTTCACGGTCTCGGTTTTAGTCGAGAGACCGGAAGACATCCTCGCCTATGCAGCCAAATATTTTACGTGAGTGCTTGTGATATATTTCATAGAGGCTCGTCTGGTCAGTCTCGACGATCCAGTCGACTGTTCGATGGCCGTCTGGATGGACATTCGGCGGACTGTCTGGCTGAATCGCTGGCCAGCCGATAAGACATCCGTCCAATGATTGGATTAATACGGAACGAATCGCTCTGGAAAGGAAACAGCAGATGCACTCGTGGATTCGGTTAGGAGCGACTGAGTACCCCGAGTCACGCCGGTCCCCGAATTTGAAGGCGGAATGACGCTCATATGGAGCGACTTAGTCAGAAAACACCGCTTGAAACCGTCTGTCAAATTTGAGGTCACCTCACAACACATCGTAGGTATAGCACGGTGGGCTATCGGCGCAAACGTCCGACTCCGATTTGATTCGACTTGTGGCTTGCTGTTGAATGACGGCTGGCTGTGAGTGACATTTGGAGAGCTCTCAGAATATGAAGGCGCCTAAAATTTTTCGGCTGCGAAAAATCTGTGGAGCTTGCTGCTCGCGTGCCTTATCGTGCCTCCTAGAGAGCGGCGGCAAAACGTGGTGAGCTCGAGGCCACCCTTAGATTCTCTTCAGTCGGACAGCCAGTCAGTCAGTCAGTCAGTCTTCATGTGACATTTTTTCATTCAGTCGGTTGGGCGGACGGACGGACAGTCAGTCGGTCATTCATTCATTCAGTCGGTCAGTCAGTGTGTCAGTCCGTCCGTCAAGATAACAGCCTCGCATAGAGACGCACCCTCGCACAGAGATCCCGTCAATTACGGCAGACTTACTATCGCAGCAAAGCTCTTTTCGGTCGAGCTTCTCCGTTTGAAACGGCAAGGCGAGTAGAGCGAAAATCTCACAATCTGGCGGTCGCTCCCGCTCTCATTCGAGTAATACGACCTCGACCCGGGCCCTCCGGACCCGATGTAGTCCATCGGTAAATCCCTCTCATCTCTCGTGCTCTACTTCGTTCTTCTTCTCTTCTTTCCCTGCCTTTCCTAGTCTTTTTCCTCTTCGGGATGCTCCGCTGCCGCGATGCTCGCCGCGTCTTCCGGGGATTATGCCGAGATGAGCTTCTCGGGCACCTGTTGGCTTGCGCGTGGAAGAATGCGGCGGTTCCGTCCCTCCGAAGAGTCCCCGACAGTGCGTCTAGTTGATTAAGTTGCAGTGTTAGCCGCCGACGCAGTCGTCTCTCTGTCGGATACGATCAAGCCAGGTACTATGAGCAAGGCGTGGACGCAGACGAATGTCAATGACGGTGCATGCGGCGGCAGCAGCAGCAGCAGCTACGGCCGTGATTCTAGGAAGCGGAGGTTTATGCAGATGACAAGAGGAAATAAATTCGGATTTTCGGATGCGGGTGGCGGAGAAGAAAGTTGCGACGGATTCGACGGTCGCGATTTTGGCGACGCGACGAATCAGAGCGGACGAGAAATTTTAATTTCAAAACGGTGCGGGAGCCTCGCGGCCTCATACATCAAAGGCATATTTTTGTGTCACGCTATTTTGGTAGGGGATATTTAGAGATCCGAAACCTTGCCCGGTCCGGCCGCTAGCCTGTCTTGCCACCTGTCGGCGTTCCCCCTCCCACCCCCTAGCGCTGTTCCCCGGTCTACTCTCCCGAGCGACTCAAGGCTGGGATGAGGAAAATGGGAAAATACACCTATCTTGAGCGAGGGCTTCGATGAGATCATCCGAATATTTTCGCGGCTCTTTATCATTGCCAGAGAACTCGCGGAACTCTTGAATATATTTCCGAGCGAATGGGTTCGCGGTATATAGCTTCGGCAGGATCCTATATCGGCAGAAATGGGCCCGAACGAACGGCTAGCAACAGGACCCGCGGGTGTTAGCAAAATAAATTCAGCTCGGTTTCTTCATCGAGTGAGAGGATTAGTTTTGGAAATGTCTGTTCACTTCAGAAAGTCGTAGCCGTCGAGCTACACCTATTTCCGAGTTCGCCGCGAGTGATGTGTTAGTATGTGAGTTCTTCTTCTGAGTCAGACTTTCTCGATTTGCTGACTGAGTTTGTGAAGCGTTAAGCGAAGCAAATCGGGTTTCCTCGTCTATCATGATCCATGCCGTCTCGTTCATTGTCTTATTCGAATGTCTCGGATTCGCTGGCTTTTCCCAGGCGAATTATTCTTATCGAAACGAGATATAATATTTCGCATTTGCTTGAACAGTCAACGTGAATATTTCTCGGATGTCTTTCTCTGGCTCTGGTATCAGAGACATTAACATGAGAGATATATGTTTCGCTCCGCGGTCCTCCCTCAACTCGAAATGTCGAACGAAGCAATTCGGATTTCAGCCCCTGTGTCAGATGTTTTGACGTTTCACCTTTTTCTTCCACATCAGCACGTCTGGGAGTCTCTGTAGCGACACTTCCTCGGTATACAGGATGTCATGCCTGCACTCTTACGCGTGAGAACGAGAATTACGGAAGCTAATGGTCGTACAATGGACGAAATTCGAGCTCAACGACCGCGACTAGCATCGATCAGGTCAGAGGTCCTCGAGGTTTGATCAGACTTGATTATCGACCGCAAAGGATTGGCGCGCTGCTACCGGTCTCCCGCCAAACATTTAGTCTGCCTCCCCGTCGCTCCATTCCGACTCCAGAGGCTTCGATGAAGGCCAACGATGTCGTAATTCACCGTTTGAGCTCCTGGTGGAAGCCATTACCTTCACCATCGACGCTCACAGCGAAGGGAACCTACGACGGCGAGAGACATTGCTCAGCTTGGGGTTTCGGACGTCGATAGCGTCTTTCGGGAGACTATAACTCGAAGGCTTGCTGTTCTTCGGACGCGAGTCGTGTCATCATCATTCCGCTGTGCCTCGTATCTGCGAGCCGGGTCCCTCAGACCTAGTATTGGCGAACGGTCTAATAAGCGCTCTCGCGTTTGCAGAAAGAGCGCTCTCTGCTGTTCCGCTAGAGTCAGGATTTGCCGTCGACCGACTTTCCAGATCTGTTTGTTTATTCGTCTTTCGATAATTTATCTTCCTTCATGTAATTGCCGCGGTCGTACTCTGACTCGTATCCATCGTCGTTTGCCGTGGGATCTCCGCTCAGCGAATGATTGCCGCGTCGAAAGTCGTCCAGAGAGACTCATCTTCTATTCGGGGGATGTGTCGAATCAGCGGCAACATCGTCCACAAGTTTTCGATCTTTTTATACTCTTGTTGATTCCCCTCTCGGCCAATGGATCTCGTTACCTCCAGTCCGAGGGAGGGCCTCGTTCGATGGCTACCAAACACCGCTCGTATGACAGGCGGTGTAGCGGTTTCGAGTTCCGTGACTTGTTTCGCGATTCGGTAAATCAGAATGAGTCTGCGATTGAGAGGAAAAATCGTAAACCCTCTGATTCGATGGGAGGGAATAACGGTGGAACGATTGGGGAAAAATGATTTTCTCCTCTCGGAAACGGGACTCGATTGTGACAGCGACATCGATCGCGGTCGGTTCGAATAGTCCTTCCCGAGCTAGGAGCCCGCTGGCACACAGCGTTATTCGAGCGTGTGTCGAAAGATGACGACGATCGTAATAATCTTGTTTCCAGACTCTTGGTCGATGGCAGCGGGGATCGAACAATCGGAGCATTGTTTTCGCTGTTTGAACTAATCCCGGGAGGAGATCCTCAATATTAAGCTGAAGATGCGCCGTCGAGAGCGGCGCCACGACGTTCGTGTTTGCCTGATTCCGATCGCCGAGCAGAGCGAGGATACATCCAAGCCTTTATCTGAGAGCCCCCGAATCCATGGATGTGCTTGATTGCTCATCAATCCGTTCATCCATTCGCCCGGTCGCCGCGGTCGAACATACGCTCAGCTGGTTCCCGGGGAGAACATTGGCTGTCCGCGGGGCATGCTGATGCCTGTCTTTTCCGTCAATATGAGCAAGTGCTTTGTTTTTACAGTGATTCCCGGTTCCGGCAACCGCAGCAGATCCCTGTTTCTGTATCTGGTTTTATTATGTATGGTTTTTTCCTCCTCAATGAAACTGAATATTCTCATGATCACCGAATGAGGCAAAATATGGTCAGACGGTGATCTCCTTCGATCGTAGCCGAGTCGAACACGCTTTCGGATCGAATATTCTACGATTTTCATCATCATCACAAACATAAACATCTTCGGACCGTTAATAAATTCACGAGAGACCGAGCGACCGCAGATATTCCAGTCGATTCAATGAATGAGCGACCAAGCGAGCAGGGGAGTCCGCCTCACTTTCTGAATGAATAAATCCAAGCTCATTCAGCTTGCGCGCATCCGAGTTTGGATTTCCTTATAATTTTGTCCGTACCCGGACGAATCCAGTCTCGTCAGTGCGGGGGCCTCATCTGCCCTCATTCGTCGCACGTGGCTCGGGAAAAGTGGCCCGCTGGGGTCGATGCTTACCGCTCCTGAAAGAAATGCCTCTCGATGAATTGATCGCGCTAGCATGCGAACATTGCGCCATCAGACAGAGCTGGCAGAATGCTCTCGCATGTGAATCTTATGCAAATATCGATGTAACCGTCAGAAAGACTTTTACGTATTTACTGCCACGATCCACTCGTTGTCTGCTTCGTTGGTTGCTAGGTGGCTCGCTCCACGCTCGCGCAACAGCTCCAATTGTTCGCTCCATAGATCTTCCGAATCGGCCAAAGAGCTAGTTCGAATTATCCTCCATCATAAAGTAGCAAGCTATCGACAAGGATATCGCGTTAGATATCGGAGGCTTCCGGGAGTTCCGCTTGGGAGCGATTCTTCCGACGTTCACCATGATCAGGGACTATGCATTCAAGATTCAGGGGTGTCGAAAGTTTCGAGAGAAATTCAGGCCCTCGGAGACTTTTTGGGCGTTCCCGGCTCAGCAGCGAGGTCCATGTTTCTAAGTGAGACCGGAACTACTATTAGAAGTTGAATCTGAGCCCAGAGTCGTTTATCGATTGCAGTAATAGAGTATCACTAGTCCGGTCGCGGTGGCGTCCGCTCTGGGGACTTCCTTGGAAACTTTTTA